TCAAACTCGATGTCTATTAATAATTAAGTTTCCAGTTCATTACCTATTAGTACACTATTATAGACTTTAGACTTTTATAGGTATTTATTTGAATAATTATATGAACACACTTTGACTTAGTTATTGATTATTGACTTACTATTAACTTTCAGTATACCCTAAACAACGTGACAATAGATTATTAATTAATTATACATTTAATTACAAAACTAGAAAACGACTACAAAATGCCCGCGGAATCAGTTGCGACCAACCATTTGGGTGCCGGTGACGGCTGTGAGATGCCTCAGTGGGAGATGAACGACGATATTGTCATCAGTGGTATCGCCGGACGGTATCCCGAGTCGGATAACATCGACGAATTGCGAGACAATCTGTACAATAATGTCGATATGATTAGCGAAGACGAGCGCCGGTGGCCGCTCGGGCTGTACGGACTGCCCACCAGAAGCGGCAAAATAAAGGATTTGAGCAAATTTGACGCCCAGTTCTTCGGTGTGCACGGAAAACAGGCTAACCTTATGGACCCTCAGGCGAGACTCCTCCTCGAACTCACCCACGAAGCCATGGTTGACGCCGGTATGCAGTCATCGCTTCTCTACGTTTGAATCATTCAATTAAAACAAAACCGTAATATTCTGTACACAGGAATCAATCCGCAGACCCTTCGCGGCACCCGAACCGGCGTTTACATCGGCGCCTGTGTCTCGGAAGTCGAGGAAGGCTTAGCTATGGATATATCGAAAGTGTCGGGATATGCGCTCACGGGTTGCAGTCGATCCATGTTCGCCAACCGTATCTCCTATACCTTCGACCTCCAGGGGCCCTCCTATTCGATGGACACGGCCTGCTCTTCTAGCGCGCTGGCCATCAGTCAGGCGCTGCTCGGCCTGAGAACCGGTCAGTGCGACGCCGCCGTCGTGGGCGGTGTGAACATATGCCTCCGCCCGGTGTCGGCCCTCCAGTTCCACAAACTGAATATGTTGGCGATGGACGGCAAGTGTAAGTTCTTGGACGAGAGCGCCAACGGATACGTTCGCGCGGAGACCTGTTCCGTCATCTTCTTGCAGAAGAAAGCGGACGCCAAACGCATTTACGCCACTGTTTTGCACGCGAAGACCAACACCGACGGCTATAAGGATGAGGGCATTACCTACCCGTCCTCCTACTCGCAGGCGGCGCTTATGTTGCAGACGATCAAAGAGGCGAAAGTGAATCCCAATGAGATTAGATATATCGAAGCGCACGGCACCGGCACCGGTGTGGGCGACCCGTCCGAGTCGCGAGCCATCGCCGACGTCTTCTGCAAAGACCGTAAGGAACCGCTGCTTATCGGAGGCGTGAAGTCGTGTTTAGGACACTCGGAGCCCGCGTCGGGACTCAACTCTGTGGCCAAAGTGTTGCTGACCTTCGAGAACAAATGCATTCCAGCGAATCTGAACTTCAATAAACCCAATCCCAACATTCCGGCCCTAATGAACGGCTCACTGAAACCCATATTAGAGAACACGCCGTTTGTGGACAGTATAGTTCCCGTCAACTCGTTTGGTTTCGGTGGAGTCAACGTTCATATTCTGCTGAAACCCCACAACAAAGAGATGACTGAAGAGAACTACAAGATTATCGAAAACATTCCGCGAGTTATTCCCATTTGCGGCCGAACTGAGGAAAGTGTGAACAATATCTTCGACTTTTTGGAGCAAAACCCCAAGAAGTTGACCCGCGATTTGTTGGCCCTCTTGTACGACATCTCGCAGACGACAGAGTCTTCGGGACTGAATTATCGCGGATTTCTTTTGGCCAAAAACAACGAGGAAGAGAAGGCCCTCTCATTCACGCGGGAAGTGACTCGCGTTCAGGAGAAGAGACCCGTTTGGTTCGTCTTCTCAGGAATGGGCAGTCAGTGGACGGCAATGGCGAAGGGAATGATGAGTTTGGATGTCTTCAACAAATCCATCCAACGATCGGCACAAACTCTGAAACCATTGGGCGTGGATTTGCTGCACCTGTTGCTCAGCGACGACGAGCAGGCGCTCGAGACAACTGTCGCCCCATTCGTGGCCATCGCCGCCGTGCAGATAGCGCTCGTGGACTTCCTCCGGGAGATGGACATCGAGCCGGACGGCATTGTCGGCCATTCGGTGGGTGAGTTGGGCTGCGCTTACGGCGACGGTGTGTTCAACGCCGAGCAGATGCTGTTAGCGGCCTATTGGAGAGGAAAGTGCGTCGAAGACGCCAAACTGCCGCGCGGTCTGATGGCAGCCGTGGGCCTGACCTGGGAAGAGGCCAAACGCCGGTGCCCTAAGGGAGTGGTTCCCGCGTGTCATAACTCGGAGGATTCGGTGACCATATCGGGCGCATACGACGAGACCCTCAAGTTTCTGGAGGAACTGAGAGCCGAAAACGTCTTCGCCCGCGAAGTGAAGAGCTCTGGCGTGTCGTTCCACAGCTACTTCATGGAGGCGATCGCGCCGTCACTTCTCGCGAAACTCAAACAAGTCATCCCTAACCCTAAGCCCAGAAGCCAACGATGGGTCAGTTCGTCTGTACCGGAGGCCCGATGGGGCGAAGAGTTGGCCAAATACTCGGCGCCGGCCTATTACGTGAACAACTTGACATCACCCGTACTGTTCCAGGAGGCCATCCAACACGTGCCCAAGAACTCAATCATTATTGAAATAGCGCCGCACTGTCTCCTCCAGGCGATCCTGAAGCGATCACTCGGCTCCGAAATCTCATACGTGGGTCTCATGAAGCGAAACAACAACGCCTCGAACCTGGATATGGCGCTGTCGGCCATCGGAAAGCTGTATGAGTTGGGACTGAACCCCCGCATCGACAAACTCTACCCGAAGGTGACGTATCCGGTGGCGCGCGGCACCCAATCCATCAGTCCGTTGGTGCGTTGGGATCACTCACAGAACTGGTTGGTCACACTCTACCCGGAGTTCTTCAACCCCAGCAGCTCTTCGGATTACACCGTGAAAGTGGATCTCCAGGAGAAGAACGACGAGTACTACGCGGGCCATTGCATCGACGGCCGCATACTGTTCCCGGCGACCGGGTATCTGATGCTCGCGTGGCAGATGTTGGCCAAAATGAAGGGCCTCTTCTACGACAAGATGCCCGTCGAGTTCGAGAACGTGACTCTTCACAGGGCGACTATACTCCAAAAACAGGGTCAGACAAAGTTCGTCATCCGTATGATGGAGACGAGCGGCGAGTTCTCTGTGAGCGAAGGCGGAACCATCGCCGTCACCGGCAGGATCTTCGTGCCCGACGACGTGGACCTCGGACTGCAGCACCTGCTGACCGACGGCTCCGTTCCCATTGAGAACCCGTTGAAGTTGGAGCCGAAGGACATCTACAAAGAGCTCCGAATCCGAGGCTACGATTACGGGCCGACATTCCAGGGCCTCACCGAAGCGACGGCCGACGGACGCAACGGTAAGATTAAATACACGGGAAGTTGGGTGGCCTTCGCCGACGCTATGCTTCAGTTGGGAATTCTGGGCAAATCGACGCGCGGTCTCTACCTCCCGGTGCGCTTCCAATCCATTCGATGCGATCCCACGGTGTTTAACGAAGCCGTCGAAGCGGCCGGCAGTGAGCCTCAGTTGGACATCGTCTGCGACCCGCGAATCAACGTCTGTGTGGCGAAGGGACTGGAAATCCGTGGCCTTAAAGTGAATTTAGCGCCGCGACGACAAGGCGCTCAGACCCCGTCCCTCGAGAAGTACCGATTCGTGTCCTACACGGACGAGAAGACTTTGGACGAACCCGAGGCACAGGAGCTCAGAGAGTACATCGATGTCTGCTCTTCGTTGGCGCGCAAAGTGTTGGAAGCGTCCGGAAAAACTTCGGCACAAATCAAAGAGGTGTTGAATGACTTCACAGAAGCCAAGGATAGTGTAGTCAAAGACTATTTGGTGGCTCCTCAAGAGGAACATGCATTGCTCCGAGTCTTAAAAGACTTGATTACAGTCGACAAGAAAGTGAGTCTTAAAGAGAACGTCAAACGAGTTCTCAGCCAATATGGGGATCAGCTCTCGAAGGACGTGATCGCCAACGTCTCCACGAGACAGACATTCCTTCGCCCGGCGCTGGATGTGGTGATTGAGAACCTCTCGTCACTCAAACTCAACATTCTTGAGGTCAACTCCAGCCCTCTTATACTTCACGAACAAATCAACGCTTTGATCAACGCTTCCGGTTATACCCTGGGAGTCAACTATACATTAGCTCATCCGTCGCCCGCCGACCTGACCGTCGACTTGGGTGAGACCAGAATCGCGGAGTGGAATGTCGCCAAATCTAACGTCCCGTTGGAGGCCTCAACCATCGACTTAGTCGTCTACAAAGACATCTACTCGTCGGCCAACACGTCCAACGGCGTCAACATCGAGGCGTTGACCGAATCGCTGTATTCGGTGACCAAAGACAACGGCTTTGTGATCGCGTTATTGCGCTCTCACTTCACGCCCGCCGAGCGATTTGTCTACAAAGTGGGTGATCTCAATGTCCCCAACACTAAGGCCTCCGAATTCATCGCGAAGGCCGAGAAGGTTGGCTTCTCTGTGGTCAGCAATCAGACCGATTCGCTCACCTCTTCGGTGGTTTTGCTGCGAAAAGTGGTGACAAAACAGGCCTCCACTCAGAGTATCATAAATGTGACGAATTCTAAGTACGACTCGTGGGTCGAGACCCTGAAGACCAAAATCCTGGAGCATCAGAGCAAACAGAGCGGCGAAAACGTGTGGCTCGTGGCCAACGACACGGTCGCCAACGGTGTGGTCGGTCTCGTGAAGTGTCTGCGTCAGGAGCCGGGAGGCGATAAGATTAGGTGTATATTCAACGCCAGCAAATCGGCCAAAGCCAGGGCCGCCTTACCTCCCGTGGCGTTCGACAAATCATTCTATTCGGATGTCCTTAAGAAGGATCTCGTGATGAATGTCTTCAGAGACGGAAAGATCGGTTCGTTCAGACATTTCGATTTGGGTGACGACCGCCAGAACGAGTCCATTGACACCGAACACGCCTACCTCAATGTGACCACAAGAGGCGATCTGTCGAGTCTGCGCTGGTATGAGGCGCAGCACAAGTACTGGCCGTCGCTTCCCAGCGCCCACAAGAACCCCAACGAAGTGCTCTGCAGTGTATACTACGCGCCGTTGAACTTCCGCGACATTATGCTGGCGACCGGCAAACTGCCTCCCGATGCCCTGCCCGGCGATATGGCTCTCCAGGACTGCATTCTCGGTCTGGAGTTCTCCGGTCGCGACCAGACTGGCAAACGAGTGATGGGAATGGTAGCCGCCAAGGGATTGGCCACTACTATCGTTGTGGACGACCCCGAGTTCCTCTGGAAAATCCCCGACAACTGGACGATGGAGGAGGCGAGTACTGTACCCGTGGTCTATAGCACTGCCTATTACGCGCTGGTAGTCCGCGGAGGCCTCGAGAAGGGCGAGAGTGTACTCATCCACTCTGGAAGTGGTGGTGTGGGACAGGCGGCCATCTCTATCGCATTGAGTATGGGTTGTGAGGTCTACACGACTGTCGGCAGCGACGAGAAGAAGGAGTACCTGAAGAAAGAATTCCCGCAATTGACTGACAAAAACTTTGCCAACTCTCGAGACACCAGTTTTGAACAACACGTCCTCAGACAGACGGCCGGCCGTGGAGTAGATCTCGTACTCAACTCCCTGTCCGAAGAGAAACTACAGGCGAGTGTGCGATGTCTCGCACAACACGGAAGGTTCCTAGAGATCGGCAAATATGACTTATCGCAGAACAACCCATTGGGTAAACCAGTCATTCATTTTAGAGAATGAATTTCTTTTAATACTAAAACACTTTGTTTTTGTAAAACCATAGGAATGTCTGCTTTCCTGAAGAACATTGCATTCCACGGCATTCTGTTGGACGCCCTCTTCGGCCCGTCGTCCTCTCATTCGCCCGGAATTAAGGGCCAGAAGCTTGAGGTCGCGAATCTGGTCATGAATGGTATCAAAACCGGTGCCGTCAGACCCCTCAAGAGAACCATTTTCTCCAAAACTCAAGCCGAAGAGGCATTCCGTTTCATGGCTTCCGGCAAACACGTCGGGAAAGTCATACTTAAGATCAGAGACGAGGAATCCGAGAAAGTGGTGGCGCCCAAGAAATTGGTGGTCAACGCTCTGCCCCGTACGGCACTGCACCCGCTTAAGTCATACATCGTTACGGGAGGTTTGGGTGGCTTTGGACTCGAACTGTCCCACTGGTTGGTCGAGAGGGGCGCCCGAAAACTGGTGCTCACCTCAAGAAGCGGTCCGCGGGATGCCTACCAACACCTGTGCATCAAACGTCTTCGCTCTTTCGGGGTCCACGTCATCGTCTCGAAGGCCGACGCGGCGACCGTTGAGGGCGCGACCCAACTCGTGAAGGAAGCCCTGTCTTTGGGACCCGTCGGAGGGATCTTCAACCTGGCGATGGTCTTAAGCGACGCCTTCATTGACAAACAGAGCGCCGAGTCCTTCAAGACTGTGTGCGGTCCTAAAGTGGACGGTACCGTCAATCTGGACGCCGTGAGCCGACAAATGTGTCCGCAATTGGATTACTTCGTCGCCTTCTCGTCGGTCAGTTGCGGCAGAGGTAACGCCGGACAAAGCAATTATGGTTTCGCCAACTCTTCGATGGAAAGAGTGTGTGAATTGAGACGAAGCGATGGATTGCACGGTCTGGCCGTTCAGTGGGGAGCCATCGGAGACGTCGGCGTTGTATCCGAGAATATGGGCGGAAACGATGTGGTGATTGGCGGCACTCTTCCGCAGCGGATGCCATCGTGTCTCTCAGTATTGGACCGATTCCTTCAGTCCGAAGAGAGCGTGTGTTGCAGTCTCGTGAGGGCTGTGCGACAGACGGACACATCCGGCGGCAAAAAGGCTGACTTAGTGAAGACGATCGCCAATATTCTCGGTATTAAAGATCCCGCGAGTCTGAGCCCAACCACCACTTTGGCTGAGATGGGAATGGATTCACTTATGGGCGTCGAAGTGAAGCAGACATTAGAGCGCGACTACGATGTGATCCTTTCGATGCAAGAGTTGCGATCACTGAATGTCGGACACCTCCAGGAGATTGGCGGACAGGGAGGCGCAGCGGGTGCCGCTCGTACCGGATCTACCGAAGCGCCCCTTCAGCTCAATATCTCTATCCCTCGCATCGGTTTGCCCGACGAGACGGTCGTCCGACTGAACGACGTGAGTGAAGGCAAACCCGTCTTCTTCCTGCCGCCGCTCGAAGGCGTCTTCAATCTGCTGGAAGTGTTGGCCAAACAAATCAAACGCCCGGTCATTGGCCTCAATTGGACGCTCGCCTTCAAGGACATGACGACCATTGAGGAGGCGTCCGCCCATTACATCGAAACCGCCAAACGTCTCAATCCGGACAACCACTTCGATCTGATCGGCTATTCGTTCGGTTCTGTGCTCTCATTCGAGATGAGTCTTCAACTGCAGCCCAAGTCTAACGTGAATCTCATTCTCCTGGACGGCTCGCCCACTCAGCTGATGGTCAGCACCGAGCAGTTCCGCGAGAAATATCAGGCGAACGACGAGAAGGTACAGCACGTGGAGGCGTTGGTGACGTTCCTCATGCAGTTCGTGCCCATCAACTACCAGAAGATCAAAGCCGAGCTCCTGGCGATCGGCGAGCAGGACCTCCGGGTCCAGAGGGCGGCCGAGATATTCGTGGAGTCCGGCGGACCCAAGAGCGACCCCAAAGACATTGCGTTGGCCGCCGAGGCCTTCTTCAGGAAAGTGAAAATGATGCACAGCTACCGGTTCCACAAGAAGTTTGATGGCAACGCTCTGCTGATCCGGGCCGAGGAGTTCATCGTCAAGAACAACGACGTCCAACTGCCCCACGACTACGGCGTCTCAGATGTATGTCCTTTAGATATGAGTGACCTTTTGGTCATTGATTGGGTTTTAATTGGTTTTGTCTTTTCTTTCTTCCCGTTGCAGTCGATTACCGGCAAATGCGAGACTCACGTGATGTCCGGAAACCACAAAACCTTTTTGCTGAACAACTTGGAGAAAGTGTCGGAACTAATCAATTCTCACATTTAAGGACAACGTCTNACTTAATATAGGATCCATATTTCAAGACATTTATAACGCGAGTGTTTTGGCCACCAATGATGTGGTCGTTGTTTCCGTGAACTATAGGGTCGGACCCTTAGGTTTCCTATACGGTGGCGATGAGACAGCGCCCGGAAATGTGGACTTTTATGACCAGTTATTAGCGCTTAAATGGGTATTCATTTTAATAAATTTTAAGATATTACTTTTGATTTATTAAGCATTAAAAATATACTAGGTGAGAGATAACATCCATGCATTTGGTGGGGATAGGGATGAGATCACTATATTTGGTCAGAGCGCCGGCAGTTGGTCCGTATCGGCGCACATATTATCTCCTCTATCAAAGGGTCTGTTTAAGAGGGCTATTATGGAGAGCAGGGCCCTTATGTTCAATAAGGACAGACCGGCGCTCAGTACTGTTGTTAGTTGTCATCCTCGCTGAGCTCCAGTTCCACCTGAAACTGTTGATCCTATGAGGTCCATGTCCAGCGACTCTAAGACGTTCACCACGAGTGGCAGTAATTCAATACCTAATAGTTTTGAAAAGTAATTTAATCGCAACAAATCATTATTACATAATATATACCGTATGTACCAAAATAAAATCAATTAAAATGAATGAGTCTTTAAATATGGAGTTTAACATCAATTTATTGATTCATATGTAATAATAAAGACAAAAGGATGCCGAACTCAATTGCAATGGTTTTGCGGATTCTGTTCGTCACAGTTCTGTAGAGTTTTAAGTCTTTTTCGGTGAACAGCTCTTTCAGGTCCTCTTCCGTTCGTTGCATCCTTTCAATGAGTTTATAGATATTCACGACATTAGTTGCCATC